ATATGTATATGAGCATTAATTATTCATCAACCACAATTGTTGGAAGCGCCAAATGAACTACCTTTGAGTGGTATGAAACTAATAGCTTGATTTAGAGCAGTAACGACAGGCAAGAAAAATTTATGTTGGCTAAGTTACCACTATGTTACCCACTCAGAAATAATGCTTAATCATGGTTATTTAAGGGAGGTCAACCTTCTGCGTCAATTAAAAGCAGACGAACCTTGGAATTGAGAAGAGAAAATATTTACCTTTGTCTACTTGAAGAACTACCGGCATCTAGATAATAGAATAGCACCACAACGTCGACCAACAGCCATACTATACTAGTAACTACCACGGCACGCAAAACTCCAGCACGCGCCATACGCATGCCGAATATAGGATCGGCGGCCTGTTTAAACAAATGTTAATTGAAAGTACACAACGAAACATTTTCTAGCACATTGTTCACATATGCATCGCTCACATATTCTAGTACTGGCCATCAAACCTCCACAAGGAATAGTTGGTGGACAAAACGATTCTCAATAACATTTTAGAGGTGCAATCAAATAATGCGTAAGTGGGTGGCCACACTAAGGCTGGTGTCAGAGTCCGCGATCCGTCGCAGGTTTCGCTGATTTTCGCGATTTGCGCGATTCACGCGACGGGTCACGGAAATCACAAGTGCCCGATCAATACTGCAAGGTGTTCTCCAATCCTGCCGCCACTTCTGCTTGATAGTGATGGCTGAATGACGACTGCTCATGATTCCACTTGTTTCATATTCAGTGTTTCAAATGTTCAAATGGGGCACTTGCAATTTTTGCGATCCGTCGCAGGTTTCGCGCAAATCGCGCAAATCGCAAATCGCGAAAATCAGCGAAACCTGCGACGGATCGCGGACTCTGACACCAGCCTAACAGCAACACACATTCGATAGCGAGAACAGCGTTTACAACGAAAATGATAGCCCTTCAGGCGTACGCCTTCCCTTCTGATGGGGAAAATCTCGAAATCCCGTTTGCTCTTTCTGAGTGAAACAGCCAACAAATTGCGGGAACCCAGCTATCACGGCGATAAGACTTCCTATTACGACCAGAACTTCTCACACAAAATCGTTGAAGTAAAAGAGTATACTGTTTCGATCACAACAACGTAACCACAACAAACACAGGAGAAATCTTTGAGGGGTGACATGTGTGGTTTGCAAGCTAAGCTCTATAAATAACAATTCAAACATTGAAAAATACAACAAACTACAAGCAAATATTTTAATAATTTTAACAACACTGACCAATGAGCAAAGGGCACGCCTTTTGAGTCGAACTCAACGATATCATCACAGCTTTTGTTACGTTCATGAAACCATCTCTTCATGGAGTGCATGTCAACGCCCTATTTTACATATTCCTAATAATAATTATACGGGGAAAATGAGCGAAATTGAAGATATTATTGCGACATCAAATAAAATCACTACATAAAGGGTAGCACTTCCACAGTTAGCAACCAAGCAAGCATCCAGCTATTTTTCTCAATTCTTTGCTCAAATAATTCTTGAGTTAAACTCGAATTGGGTGAAAATCTGAACAACGCATTAGTATGTACGTCCTTTTGCTGAAAAATCCAAATTATATAATATAGCAAGACTCAAGGCGACTGTAGGCGAAGCAGCTAAGGAACAAGTAAAGAAAAAGGCTCTCCGAACAATAGAACGACATTCTTGCTTCAAAAGGAAAACCTCAAGTCGGACGTCGAAGAATAAGCTCAGTAGAACAGAAGAAACAAAAAATATCACAGAAAAGCATTATCAAGAACTAAAATATTACATTCACAGATATCACATTATTACGGATAATTATGCAAGAATAGCATTAAATAAAATGTATGCAAATAGAACTTCAGATAAAATTCACTTGTCTTTGAACACTTATGGGCAAGAGTGAAAAACTGCTGCTCTCTTTCACAGGTTAGTTTGATCCTGGGATGGCAAGACGATGGGAGATGAGCCAGTCCGCCAAATCTCTACCGCAGCATGAAATATTCGCTGTCACAAACGGAACTGCTGGAGCGTTCAGTTGTTTCCAAACGCCACATCCATTTGGTATTGGGGTTACCTAAAGCAAGAAGAACGTTATTAATAAAGTGTTGGACTAGACTTTAAACCAGGTACTGCAAATGTTGGAAAGAGAATTCAGGAAATTCTTGATACAAAACTACAAATCTACTCGAATATTCATAAATTTGTTGATTGCTTGTTACTGGGTAGTAGATATGATTGATGTGATGTTTTATTTGAACTGAGCTCCCCTCGTTTTTAACTTAACTATTTGGTTTTTCGCAGCCAGTATGCTAACAATTAAATTTGTGATATACACTAGGATCACTGTTGAAAACTAACAAATAGTTTTTCCTTGTCCAAACATAACAATAAGGAAATATATATGTAACAGCTGTGACACCTCAAAACCCACCATAACAGTTTCCCCTAAACTAGCTTCGAAGAATTCTCGCACAGCTTCATGTGACTCACGATTCCAAATGTCTTGACCACCAACCGGCACTATATTGGCGACCTGGAATCAAAAGCAGTAATCCATTTACGTTACCGATGCAAGAGCGGTTATCCAATTGGTAGGTGCCATGACATCCCGCCGGATTTGCTTGATTAATCCTAACTTACAGACTTTCATGTAAGTCATACTTCATATAAAATATGAAACATGAATTACCTGAAGCACAAAAATGTTAAGTTGTGGAAGTTATTCTTGGGGATGAATCAATCATCCTTAAAATTGGAAGCAGAGTGCATGGCTCATCTTAAGGAATGACTGATCGAAGCCGAATATCAGTTTCTTATCCTTTTTCTTAGGTGAGGTAATGAATTAACAGTGAGTACTAAGGTAAGAGAGTAGTGGACAATTGAAGGTTTCCCTGTCACGCCAACTGACCAGTATAAATTAAGTGCGCTCAAATGTTATAAGTCATTTCACTAGAAACATAAACGAATTATCTGACACATACCTTGCATTTGAACATCAGCATCTTTCGGAATGGCGTTTTTGCGTTGAGCCTTCTTAACGCATCCGCTCTCACGTAATGAAAGGCCCCAACATCAATCAGATATACACAGAAAGCCGATTTGTCTACAAAAGGATGGATGAAATGAATAAATTACTCATTAGACGACAGCTGTACCAAATACCTATTTTGCTGGCCCGGACGCATTGTACTCGTTCCCATCGGTCATCGATACGTGCAGCATAAAATGCGCCTGGGCGTGGTGGATCTTGTAATTCAGCGTCGGCCATCTGAGACTCTTCAGACAATTTGCCGTACATATAATCAGGCATAGGATCCTAGAAAAAAACATACTACTAATAGTTGTCAAACAGACGATTATAAGATAACCTTGAAAGTAAGGGGACAGCAGTCGACACAAAAGCTCGATAGACACGTGACGAGAGTGAAACTTGACGCAGACTTATGTCCGCTGGACCTGCAGCAAAGAGCGCATTTGCTGAGAAGGCGCCCGTTGGTATCTGGCTTATTTCCATAGGTACTATCTCCACATCACCGTCGAACACGCAAACCGTGGGTGGTAGGCTGACAGCAGCAGGAGCATTTCTTGTGGAAGATGTGGCATCGTTACTTGAGAGAAAACAGGTTGATTTAACATAATATTTTGCTCTGACATGATTCTAAATATCAGAAAAACATAGAAGATAGCATTGAAGTAAACAAATATTATCTCTTAAACCACAGAATTTACGCTGCTTCCTAGCGATGAGGGACATTTTTCAACAAATCGTGTACCTTGTAGTTTGTAGTATCTTAATAAATCAAAACCTATCTAAGATTATTGCTATTTTGATGTTAAATGTTGAATTTGCCTACAAAGAAGCGCTATTCCGCTATAAACAAGGCTATGGCTCCCGTGAAGCCATGCAATCAAAACAATACTAATAGCCTATGTCTACTGAATAATGCATTTCGTGACGCGACATTTCGGTGACAAATGCGATGTTGCAAGCGCCAAATATTGTATCGGAGAACGGAGAAGGCGATCATTCAAACGCTACTGGAAATTCGGGGGTTCAGAATTTGTGAGGCTTAACAAAATATTCTCCTAGAACTTATTTAGGCAACTTTACAGAAGTACTTATGGCAGAGAAATTTTTGACCTACTCGTTTGCTTATAAAATGGAGTTAAGTAAAAAAATTCATGGTTATTGTAGTAGTGGCGACCTCACAGCACATCTGTGAATGACTGTCGTCTTTCAAGATAGGCCTGCAGAAAATTAAGAAGACGCCAGTGACTATGAAAACAAATGGAACTTACTTTACACCGTTGTTGCCTTCCTTTCCATCTGGAATATTCGTCATCACTATTTCGACAACCGCCCTTCCATCAGTCATCCAAAGGTCAGCAATTGAAACAATCTCGCCGTCCAACTCCGTTTCCGTTAAGGAAGTTAACTAAACGGCTTCCTTGTACTGACTTTAAAAAACGATACTTGTGGAAAAAAATATCCCCCTTGTTCTGTAACCTCAAGCCCCTGTACTATTCTGATCTCGAGAACTTTCCATGTTTCAGGAAGGACAGGATACCCATCGATGGTGAAAAGATAGAGAAATACAGATAATGATCCGAGATGAAGTAAAAGCTGATAAAGCTGCGGTCAGCATAACATGACAGTGTATCAATGTAACAGCAATACACACTGACCCGACCCCCCCCCCCCCCCCCCCACCTTCGCTTACAACTAGGTCCTCAATAGTCCCAAAAGAGAACCCAATTCAGTGTAGGACTGGTTGAATGTGACGATTGTCAAAAGGAATTTCAAGAAAAAAAACACTCATAAAGCATAGCTGCTAATGCTCGTTAAAAACCAACCTGCACCCGAACCGGAATAAAGTTTCCCATAGCATCCTTCTCAAAGAGAACAGAGCGCAGGATATCATCCGATGCTTGGCCTATTGCGTAATCAGGTAGAGCAAGATTTACTCGCTTGGCAAGAGCACCACCTGAAACATGGAGCACGAGGTGAATGACAACGAATTAGGAAACAATACAAAAGTCAATCTAAAAAAGGTAGTTCCACAAATAATTCAATGACGTGCAAGAAACAAACACAAAAACAAGAAAAACAAGTGGGAGAGTAAAGGAAGTGAACGCACGACACATTATAGGGTGACCAGGATCTGGAAGAAGACGGAGATCCACTACTGGATACACGCCGTATACGCCCACATCACAGAAGAAGCACTTGATTGTACCAGAGCGTGGGAGCTCCTGCATGCAAGCCATCATTGTAGAAATGGCTGCTCGATGCAAATCAACGAAAAACGAACCACAGCTATCACACGAAACCAATCACCAGCTGCATCACATAGTGCATACGCTCCACCAGACAATACTTCCTACAACGAGCACGACATAAGCATGAATTCTTCTCATATAAATGGGTAGAGGACAATATAGGCAACCAGTGCATTTCTACGTGAAAAATACAAGCACTCACAATACACTACAATACCAACCAATCAAACATTTATAAATAAAAATTCACTTGCTCAATTGCAGGTGGTTGGCCTTGAAACTGTGACAGGTATTTTAATATGCCTGCGGCTGTGCCATAAAAGTTATGCTATTATGAAGTTTCTTTTATGGCCGATTTTTCATTACGTACTTAAAACCGGTTCGACGAACTTGATTTGCAACCTAGCCAGCCGAGCGTCGAATTGTAAGAGACCAATTGCAATACTGCTGAAGTACCCAAGAAAAGGTACGAATCCTCTCGGAGAACCCAATGGACAACGGGACGACAGGGAACAGATGATACCCCTCGGCAAACAATAACTAGAATCAAATAACCAAACACCGTAGCTCCACTCACGACGGTCCCGCCGAACCCTATAGAGACCTAGAACAAGAGATCATTGATAAACCTACGCGCTCCTGACAAGAAACTCACAACCCACACAATGTTATGAATGACAGAAAACCGCTTGTAAGATCCTTTCGGGTAAGCAACATGGGCAAAAAGTAGAGAACGCTTTTGTAATCCTTCTAGTTTGATTTCTTGGGCATGGATATGAATTCAGGGCCGACATCACTTTTCTTGATATCATTGTATTCTTTGCTTACCATGCGAAGTAAGCAGACCTGTGACTTTGTATGGACGCTGAATCTTCTTAAATGTAACCCAGCATTTCGCCCACCTTAGCAATAGAAACAAGTTGAACACAGAATTGATGAGCAATACGAACCCTCACAATGACAAACCTCGCGCGTGCCGCGTACCACATTGTCGGGGAATCAAACCGCGCCCAAGGCAACCAAACCTTCCAAGGTAAATTCAGTTGGGGTCGGTTAATTGGTAACCGATTCGTCTGGGAGGGCAAAAACATTGACGTTCAATGGCTGTCCTTACAAGTCTTCTACAAGCAAGTGTCGCATTCATATATCTATGCGAAAGCTGTCTCCCACTATAGTTCTTTCATCGCTCAAAAAGAAAGAAGCAAGCAAAGCTAACCATTCTGAGTGTTTCAGAAAAGAAAACTCACATAAATCTGCACTCGTCTGTCGCTCGAGTTCTCCGCGTAAAACTTGCGCATGTCGGTTTTCATGGAATCGAACACAGGATCGTCTGCTACGGCACGGATGTACAGCTCTCTAGACGATTCAAAAGCGACAACAATGACGTCGCATTTTGGTTGAAGGGAAGTCGAGCAAGTAGACAGCTATAATAATAGGTGAGATCACGCTCAGACAAAATAGCCGATGATCTACAAAGGAAGGTCAACAGATCAACCCGGTTAATTGAATTAAAGCATATACTGTTGCATTTTCTTGAGACGCCAAGCTTCGGACTGCTCTAAATAACGTTCTAAGCGGAATAAAGGAGGCTTTTGCTACGCTACCTTGTATGCCATGTTTACTAAGGTGATTTTGAGGCAGGAGTCTAGACTTTGCGTGCCAATTGCTACTGGCCATTCACCAGAAATTACTACCTAGCGACACATCTCGCACACTTCCCATACAAGCACCTGCTTGATAATGGCAAGCCGTTGACGCTTATAGAGAAACACTCCAAGTTATTATCTGACACGGAAGAAAACCACAAGTCACTAAGAAAAATCGACATACGACCCCTACTCCTGCAGGCACCGCCCTACCGCTGCGCTTTTCTTCCCTATACATACAATCATACAAAACATCTGAGCAGGATATAACAAGTCTGGTTCAGGCGCCATTGAGCAAACTGCAATACATCTACCTCCATTTCAACGGAGCGATGAGCTGTTGTTATTCGCTGTGACGTTTCGTAGGGAACGCCAGCGTAGGTTTACGTTTTCTACCAAAAAACAATACATTACACTACGTACTCCCATTCGAAAGGCGAATCATTATGTAAATAAACTTCGCCTTGAAATATCGAAGCACACATTAGAGGCTTGAAAAAGTGGTCTTCCAAAGGAATACACTGTAAAAAGAAAACACTCACTGTTTCTGCATGTTGTAGTGGATGGCGGTCCTTCCTCAGCTTCACACGTTCAGCTTCCGCTGTCATGCTTCCAGAAGTCATGACTGAATGATGTAAAGCTTTACTTAATCAATCACAATTAACAACTAATTCGGGGTGCCACCTTTACCGCCACACTCAGCGTGCTTTAACTGATCACCATCGAAGAAGCTCTCTGCTAGATGTTTTCTGCATCTTTGCCGTTCTTTGGAAGCACTTTCCAGAATTACAATGGATCTATCATTTGAAAGCTTTAGTACCTTTGACATCTGTATTTGGAATCGGGGCACGCTTGTATGAAGTAGTATTTGAGAGCCGTACAAAAAGTATTGTAAGCGGCCCTCTTGTCTGTGCTTCGAATTCTTCTGCTTCAGCAACCTGGACGAGCCAATCCTCAGGAAGTTCACGACCGAGCCCCTTCGAGACATACCTGAAGAGGAAGTTTGAAGTGCTCAACAATTTTCAAAAATCGGATTAATGGAGGGTTAAAGAAGACAATTTACTTTTCTAACAAGAATTCTATTTAGGATAAACCAGGTAATGGATAAGATGGGTCCTCATCAAGTAGGTAGTATACGCGCCAGTGGAAGCAATAGCCAGATTGCAAAGGAAGCGAAGCGAGAGAGCGTTTTCGTAGCGAAAGGTGCACTAGTTACAACGCAGTTAAGCTCCAGAAAGTAAGGCCCACTTCCTTCGGAATCGCCAAGCGTTACGATGAAGTCTGCCACTCGCTCTCTACCACAATCACTAGCTTTCGATTTTCACTTCGAAGTGCACATCGCGTTAGATGGCCGAAGTTGTAATCTTGTCATCTTCTATGCACTTTATTGAAAACCTTACCCAAACAAGTAGAATACAATCTGTGAACAAGTCCAAAGTCAACAGACAGCGTGAGTTTATGGTTCTCGCTTTATGACGATTTATTCAGGTCTGTTCTCTCTGTCGCACCGCTGACACCTTTGCTTTCATAGTTCACACCTATTAAAGGATCATAATCGCTGACCTCAAGAGTGCGTGCATTCAGACATCAGACTTACCCAGACCGCCCGTCGAAAAGATCAGACACATATCAAATTTACTAATGACCGAATTTGGAATGAGTCGGAATGTCAGCGAATGGGAGAATTGCCCAATTCACGAATTAGATTGTATGTGCAGATTGAGTTCTCTCCACCTGTAACGACTCCGCGCATCAAGATCCGCGGAGGTCATTACAAGCGTCTTAATTATTTCCCATGTAGACATCATCTTTCATTTCACGATTTTTGATTCTCTTCTAAAGACTCCAATACTGATCGGTGGATCTCACAGTTTTTTGGCACGAATTCGAAGATTCTACGATCTAGAGAAAAGCCCAATAGCCTTAAAACTACCACATGGCGCGGTAATTCGCTGGCAGTGATCCGATGAAGAAAGCCTCTATTAAACGACCTGGCGAAACGGTAACGCGAACGCCTGGTACAAAGTAACCCGAGATTTTATCAGCAAATATTTCCCTATACTCTACATATTCCAGTGATCATGAACACAATGGAACAATGCAAAAAATAAGAAGTCAGTTCAGCATCGGCATAACTCCCTTTCACAAGACCTCGAATCCACAACCTTTTCTCACTGAAAAATCTTCATCACACATATATGCAAGTTTCATGCGATGCGCACAGACATTCCACGCAAAAAGAAAGGATTCAAAAGCTTGGAGATGTATGTCGCTTGAAGAAAGAGACTTTTGTATTGGAGGCGTGCAGAGAACGTTTTGCTTTGGCATCCCGATGTAAATAATGAAGAAATCAGGCGAAATTTTGAGAAAATACTGTTTGGTACACGTTATCCGGAGAGTGAAAAGTAATGCCCTTCGAAAAATTTGGCAGCAGTGACGTTGGCAATATCAATGCCCTCGTCAACACACGCATTTTTATGAACATTGATTCGAACTAACACCATTCTGAATACCGAATGGAAGTGTGCGATTAGGGAAATGAGATTTACGCCGGCCTTGACGACCTTTCATAGCCTGACAAGGTGAGCTTGACTCTATACTGGAAAAACCAGAAGTTCAGCCGGATCAGGTCTAAAATGAAACTTAAAACCTTCCCTGCTTTTTTTCTTACCACTGAATAAATCCTCCAACGTTTTCACTAAAACTTTGCAATCACCTGTTTTGCGTCAGCAGCTTTCTTTCTCATACAAACGAGGGAAGGCTACAAAGCTCAAAAACGAAGACTTGGAAAGAACGCGATTCCCTTCACCTTCTTCTTTGGTTCTCAACAGTAGATGATAGGGTAAGTTCAAGATAGCTCGGCCTCCTCGAGATCCATACAGAAATGGTAACAAACAACAGGGGATTGCGTATACAAACACTTTTCGTATGCACATGCCAGTGCGAGCCAGTCCTGTCCCACACAACGCCCTGGAGGGTGACTGATCCGGAACTTTCTTCATCCAACGTTACGCAAAAATAGCAACATGGCAATAGAATGTCTCGTCCGAAAAATGAGCTAAATATGGAACTGGGACTTAGCGGATATACGCTACGTAACAGAAGTAATGCGCCAATACGAATCAAAACAAAGCATGCGAGTTGTGTAGAGTGATGTCTTACACATACGACTATTTTGATCGAGCAAGGGATAGCAAGCGCTGCAAATTCGTGTACCACCCTTTGCCGTCACACAGACCGAGAGATACCACATGGGCGACTACTGCCGACAACACCGCCAATCTTTACAAAGGCTCTAAGCTTGGGAGTTTTGCGTTCTTCGAGCGAGGGAAATCTGTTGGGCTGGTCGGTACAGGGGAAGAGACAAATGAAAACTATGGAAACAGACCGCGCGAACGCCATCCACGGATAAAAAACAGAAGGGCTGAAAGGACCTTTCATTGCCGCTCGTGCGCAGTCATACAAATGTACTTTGCGAACGTAGCTTGACTGACGAAAAGAGAGTTTGAAAGAGCATGAGTAGCCAATTATAATTTCAGTCCATAAAGCTAAGCAACATGCTAATTGGCGAGATTCATGGAAAGTTGTGCGAAGGATTTCGCGACACCAAAGAAGAAGGCGCACCCTACGTGCATAGTGACGCGCCTCATTTCGAGTCCACGCTATTAGGGATCCACTTCGCTTGATTCGGTTTGGCTCAACTCCACTTCGACGAAATCGTAATGGCATCCAGACGTTGAATAGCAGACTTCAAAAAGTGGTACGAGATCGCGTTTGAAGCCTAATATAGTACACCCCCACTCAAATTACTACTGCCCATTACTTGCTAACACAGAATCTTCATAATACTTGCTCGCGGAGAATCTTCGTAAAATATAACCGAAAAACATGAAAACACCACTTACTCCTCATGATACTTTTGGGCAAGGTGAGAGGAAGACACTCCCATAGGGAAGTTCTTCTTTATCATCTCGTAAAGCAGTTCCCTCACCTCCTCCATCTCTTCCGATACGTCCATATCAGCATCTCCTGAAAAGGTATGAGCATGCAGCCATCAGCGGTTAAAAATTGTAAAGAATACCAATCAATACAGTCTTAGAGATTTATAGCTGCTGCATCACTCGATTATGCAGTAAAATCTGCCAACATTTCGATAAAGCAGAAAACCGGGCATTGAAAATAATACAGAGAAAGGAAAGGGCTTTCACACTAGCCGAACCCGCATTATATTAACACACACAGCACACCCCACAACCATTCATAAAAACATACCACATATGCCCACATCCGCACGCGTAACCGGTACACCGACTACAAAGAATGTGCCTCCTCCTACTCTCGACACGCAACACTACCTTCCACGTTTTTGTCTCACCACTTTCGAAGTTTCTTCTTCTTAACTGCGCTAGGTCGTGCGATGACGACAAGTCCAACGACGTTTCTCAACTGTCGCCGAGTATTACCACGACCTCTAGCATATACTTACCTTGCGAAAGCGTCTAATCAATCCTAGAGGTTTTGAAAGGAAAGGCAGCAAGTTTCAAGACGACGTGCAGAACTGCTGCATAAATCACAAAAAACCATTTCCGCTCACAATTGCTGTT